ACATTTTAAAATGTGTCTTTTCAGAACCGCATCTGACACTTGCAACGGTTGGGAGGGGGGCAGAGGTGCGTGACTGCTCCTCCTCTGAATAAATGAAAACTAATATTTGACCAAAGCAAAACCAGAGCAGGACTAGAGAGAGATGAATATGATTTAGATTTTTTTTCTGTGACTGTATAGGCCGTACAACCCGCAGGAGACGCAGCATTAACAGCAGTAGTCATTTCATTCCATTCTTTGGCTTTAGCTGGTCCTTTAATTCCACAGCTGACACTGCTAAAAAGGACAGATTTTCTTTTCTCGATCTCTGACAGAAGKACTTCAATTTCCAAACTCGTTAAGTTCTTCTTTTTACTTCTCTCTGTCATTTTCATGAGTGAACACTTCTTGGTATCTGAGGCAGGAAACATAGCTTTATATGGTGCTTTTGGGGTGGTAATTATGCTAATCTCCTCTCGTCGTGCACAAGCACCTGAATACGAACAGGTGGAATTCATCATGTTTACGCAGCTCATTTACACACTTTTCCTGAAGATAAAAGTTTGCTGAATCTGACGTGGCATGTTCGTACGAACCCTTTGAACAAAACGAAATGAACAAAAGTAAGAGAAATTTAGGAGAAGAATACAAACATGTTCTTGCATGCAGCCCAGTGTGTCTAACTGTGAAGTTAAACACTTTTAAGTTAAACAGTTGTTAAATTAGAACAATCTAAATTTAAAAGTGATATTTAACCTTGACCTTTGACCCCATGACCCTAGAATCACTAAAAGCCATTGTTGACCCCCAATCTGTCTAGACTTGATGTTTGACCATTCTAAGTAAAACCATTGTCAAACTAGAGCTATCTCAACATAGGGGTGAAGTTTGACTTTTGACCCCATGATCCCAAAACCAGTCATTGTTTATCCACAACCTGTCTAGACTTGGAGTTTGAYCATTCTAAGTTAAACTGTTGTTAAACTAAAGCTACCTTAACATAGATGTGACCTTTGACCCCATGATCCAAAAATCACTAACAGTCATAGTTGACCTACAACCTGTCTAGCTCTGAAGTTTGACTTCTAAGTTAAACTGTTGTCAAAACATAATCTTAACATAGGGGTGATTGACATTGACATTTAACCCTTTGACCTTAAAGTCCTTAAAGGTTTTTGTCAACCCACAACCTGTTTAGACTTGAAGTTTGACACCTCTAAGTTAAACTGCCGTCATACTTCAGCTATTTTAATATAGTGGTGACCTTTGACCTTGACATTTGAYCCCATGACCTTAAAATCACTAATAGTCATAGACGACCCACAACMTGTCTAGCAGTGAAGTTTAACACCTCTGAATAATACTGTTGTCACGCTAGAGCTATTTTAACATAGGAGTGACCTTTGACCCCATGACCCTAAAATCACTAATAGTACCAGTTGACCCACAACCTGTCTAGCTGTAACATTTAACACCTAAGTTAAACTGTTGCCCTACTAGAGCTATTTTAACATAAAGGTGACCTTTGACCTTGACCTTTGACCCCATGACCATAAAATCACTAATAGTCATAGATACAGTCATCAGAAAAGCTGTTTGTGTTATGGATTTATTAACAGAAGATACATAGGAAAACATATTATTTTACAACACAAGTCAGCAGATTTGATCTTATTTAGCTCAATGTGATCTGAGCAGAACATAATGTAACAGTTTAAAATTAAAATAATCTGATAAAGTCCATGTAATCACTGTTATTTATTGAACTGTTAG